TGCTTATTTTTAATTGTGTCGCAAGGGGCAGCTGATAATAGGGATAAATGACACAACTACACAAAAATACATATAAATATATATATTACTTGTTGTTTATATAAATACTTTTTACAGATGAAAAAATATTTGGAGCATTTTTAGGAATAACTTTAAAACATACGCCGTTTGTGATAGGAAGCCGTGCATTTTCTAACAGGCTTCAAGGCACCAATAAACAGCTACCATCTTCGCAGATTATTGACGATTTATGAAGACAGATAAGGAAAAAGATAATCTGCAAATATGGAAATTAATTTGAAAATTGTGAATTTTTAAAAGAAAGAGCGCAGCGTAGCAAAAGCGTCCATTATGACTGATAGCTAAGCTAAGTAGATACTTTGCTACAGACATTGTATTCTTGGATGGAGAGTACCAAGTAATAAAGTTAAGTTTTGCATCGCTTTAACGCTGCGAGCAGAAGAAAGCAATGACAAAATTGTCACAAAGTAACACACAAGAAAGCAATGACAAAAATGTGCTGGCAATCAATTGCTACTTACTCTAAATGGGAAGTTATGAATTTTTAAAGAGAAGAATTTTAAAAATAGTAAAGTCAACTGAGTAAAACTCAAAAAAAACCTGAGTAATTGCGAATTTTTCGTAGCTCTTAATAGCGCAATAAAAGTGAAGAATTCACAAATGATGACATATTTTGCGAATGGTGATGCGAATTACTTTTGATTTTGGTGGATCTGCTAAAAATTTTTTTTAGGTTTATTTTTTAAAAAAGTTTTCACGATTCCTGACAATTGAGCAAACGATTGATCGGAGATCGAGTATTTAATTAGCATTCAAAAGTCGCCCCATGAACGGCGATGCTTGTTTATCTTTACCCGAGAAAGCAACTTTGCTTACAATAAATATCCAAACCAATTCAATCGTGGAGTAGAATTTTGTAGAAAATCGTCAATAAAAAAAAAACTGAAATCGAACAGCATAGCAATGAGTCACCCAAAGGGCCAGCCAGCAAACGATTATGTGAGCTCTGTAGCTCGGTGAGTTTTTTATGTGAAACACCTTAATTTTGCATGAGTTTTATCG